CTCTCTCTCTCTCTCTCTCTCTCTCTCTCTCTCTCTAATTTTGTAATTATTTGAAATTTTTGTGATAAAATTGGTTTAAAACCCAAATCACAAGAAATTCAAAATTGTTTGAAAACAATAATGAGAAAAAAATGACAATTTATTTCCCAAACACTTTATCGTTAATCGTATGGGAAATATACGCATAAATATATTGCTGTAATTGATAAATGAGGGCTAAATTTAATGCATAATTAAATACATATCTCCAGTGAGTGAGTGAAAAAAGTTAGTGAAGAGAGAGAGAGAGAGAGAGAGAGAGAGAGGCTGAAAGAGAAATCAATACAAACGAGTTAAGTCGCCGCTAAAAATATTGTATATTTCAAAGAAAATTAATGAATTTATTGAAGATTTAGACATTTTTGTCGGCAGAGAGAGAGAGAGAGAGAGAGAGAGAGTCTGAGAGAGTAAAGACTTAATCTGTTTTTTCTTTAATTCAAAAACTATTTTCTTGACTCTTTCTTTGCATATAAAATACTCTATTTTTACCATCATTTAGCTCTCTCTCCGACCCTCTCTTAATGTCTACTTTATATATCATACGAAACATAGATTACATTATTATAGAGCGAGTGTTGAAACACTAAAAGCAATCTTATGTACAGAAAAAATGGGCAAAAAAATACTAAAACCTTTTTTGTATTTTGTTTAAAAACTCAATTATTGTATCGTTTGATACGAAACACTAATTATTCTCTCTCTCTCTCTCTCTCTCTCTTTCATTGACTAATCGATTATATATTTTTAAGTATATTTTATTATATATTATATAACTATTATATAATTTTTGCTGCTGTCGTGTTGTGTATATGTTTTTGAATTAAAGAGAAAACAGATTAAGTCTTTACTCTCTAAGACTCTCTCTCTCTCTCTCTCTCTCTCTCTCTCTCTCTCTCTCAAAAACTCATTTAATCTCGATCTGAATAGTAGTCTCTCTCTCTCTCTCTCCCCTCCCTCACTATCTAACAGTATATCTCACCGACACTTATGTTATATTTCTCGGCAAACAATTTGCATATTCACAATAGTTTAGTCTCTCTCACACTCACTCTCACCCACTTTTGCCATGTATTTCAAGACTATTATAATCATCATTACTATTACCCAACAGTTTCTTATATAACGGGAGAGAGAAAATTGATTGCTATGCTGTGCTGATAGGCTCGGGGCCACTAATCCCTGGGTATAGGCAATGAAAGTAGTGTTCCCAGAAGCTCCCGGAATGGCAGGAGTCTCCAGGAATCGAGGCCTAGCTCCTGTCTCCCGGCGAGGGTCTCGCCTTGATATGGGGAGCTCAAGGAATATAAAACGCAATTAAAACTACATATTTTATGTAAAATATCAATGAAAATAATTTTGATAATATTTAAATATGTATTAGATCAGCAGATTATTAATGTTTATGTTTACCTAAAAATATTAACTCTGTAATCTGGTTTAAAAATATAAATAAGTGTTCTAAAAGGCAGTTATAAACTTCTAATGCAATATAAACTACAATTTATTTACTGTAATAATAGTTTAAATTATTATTTTTGCTATAAAAACGTATCAAGGAAAAACTCAAGGAATTTTCAATAAAATCTCAAGGAATCTCAAGGTAAATATTACTTAAAAGTAAATTTCTCAAGGAAATTGAAATATTGATCTGGGAACACTATATGTTAGTCACATACTGTATATACATGTAATGTACACTAATATAAAGTTTATATTTTTAAAAACACCTTGGTGATTCAATAACCATGTAATATTAATATTATCCCCTTTTTCACTCTAGCCTGTTTTATTATATACGATTAATAATAACAATCAACGTTGATTAATTAAATATTTGGTATTGACACGAGCTTTACCAAATAATATTTTGAATATCCTATATAAATGTGAGAGAATTACCAAAAATTAACCTGTATTCTGTGTAAATTAATGTATGTTTGATAACTCTAATTGACACATAAATGTAAAATTAACAAATAAATGATAAATATACCCGAAGCGGCGAGTGGTGTGCGCTCATCGTCCAGCATTATTAAAGGTCCGGCACTCCAGACGTGAACATACGGTATGCCGGATGTCATTACGGAGGGTAAGCCCATAAATTGGTCCAATATTATTACATCGGGTTTAATAGTTGGCAACAATGGCTCTATTTGTTGATCAAAACGAATAGTTTTCTCCACTCTTGAGGCAATTCCAGAGCCGTTTTGGCTGACCTTTTCTAGAGGCGATTGACCGCTAATTTTGCCCGTTTGGACCATATGTCGGGCAACGGCTACCATATCGTTCATATCACCGGTCGGTCCCTTCTTATCATTGTTTGGGGCGCCTTCGGGTCCGCCCAACACAACCTCATCGATGCCGTGTTTGGCCAGAGAGCCCGACCACATCGGGTGTATAGCAAACACAACGCTGTGGCCATTGGCTATGAGTGACTCGGCTATACTTATACAGGCGTTCATATGGCCGGTGCCGGGCACGGGTACGAACAATACTTTAAGCTTTTTAGGCATAGTTTGTGTCGAGTTGTTGTTTTAACTTAACTTGTTTATAAGACAATTGTTATTAATAATTGAAACAAAATCACTGCTTTTATACTTTATGGTAACAAATGCAATGTAAGAATTCTTGATAAGTTGTTTAATTGTTTTGATAAGATAACAATACATTTTAAATGTCAATGTGAGACATATTTACAAATAAAATACAGGTGAATTTTATAATAACTCTATTTAAATGTATTATTTTTCATATTTATATTCAATATATTTGTAATAACAAATTAATAATTATTTAAATAAAATGTTGGCAGTAATTAATTAACTTCATATTAGTGCAAATTTATTTAAAAATTATAAAATAAAATGTGTTAATTATAAAGTGATTACACCGTAAAAGTAATTGTCAAAAAAATTATCATTTTAAGAATGCGTTTATAAGATTATTTAATTGAAGATTATTTTATAAATATAAGTTATAAAAACCTAAAATAGTGCAAATAAGTACAATATACACTTATGTACTAAACAAGTATAAGTATATTATATATGTAATATACAAATCCTGTATATAGTGTATAGTTCTGTAGTTAATGAATATTATAAAACACAACTATTACATTTATATTTTGTATTTTATTTCATATTTAAAATATTCATTATTTATCAAATTAATTATTTAATATTATTAAAATCATCAAATATGATAATTATGTGGGTTTTGAATGTAATCTTCAATAATTTCGGGCAGTTTTGCGATACTATTATCCGATTGTATTCTTTGCGATATTTTCATCAGTTTTTCATTCAATTTCTTATTATTTAATAGACTTTCGATTGCATTCAATAACTCCTCTTCGGAGCACTTGTAGGTATTGAGTCGTATACCAAACCCCTTCTCATGAACTCTCTGTGCGTTATCCCATTGATCACCAAATAGTGGCAAAACAATCATAGGTTTGCCAAAATAAAATGTTTCGGTGACAGTATTGTTCCCGCCGTGGGTTATGACCAAATCAACTAACGGTAAGACTTGGATCTGAGGGACAGACCCCTCGCCCCACATANAAAATGTTTCGGTGACAGTATTGTTCCCGCCGTGGGTTATGACCAAATCAACTAACGGTAAGACTTGGATCTGAGGGACAGACCCCTCGCCCCACATATTGTCTGCCAATTGAAACTCATTATGAAGCGGTCCTTTCGATACAATAAACCTGTGCTTAGATTTGGACAAAATATTGACTAATCTCTTCATATTCTCAACATCTGCTGAAGCCATAGATCCCAACGAAAAGTATACCAATTTTCCCGGTCTGTCCCTCAACTGGTCGGGTATCGCAAAAGTTGTTTTCTCATTATCTCGTTTAAGATTATCAAAACGAATGACATTCTTAGGCAATGGTCTGATGTCTATGTAATCCAATTCCAATGGATAGCCATAAATATTCAGACATTTTATGCAATTTTCAAATTTATTTTCTTTCAATGGCTGACAACCTCTTGAGATGACATAATTATTGAATTTAATCCATGTCTCGTTTACGGCCCGATTCCTCGCATCTCTGTGTTTTTGCCACTCAGTCTTGTCTCCCGTCGCAGACAAACCTATTGTTATTTTAATACAAAAATTCATTGTTAGTTCCATTTTAATGTTTGTTTATTTGTCAAACTTATTTGCTAACAAGCATTTTATAAACTGTATTATTATTTAAAAATATAAAGTACCTGAACCAAGTGGAGGTAAACTATCATCATCAATTTTCAACGGATTTGTACTCCACGACCATACATAAGGTATACCGGATAACTCAATTGCCGGTATTGACAAAAACTGATCCACCACAATTAAATCCGGGGAAATTTCACCTAACAGGTTTATCAATAATTGATCAAGCTTAACCGCATTTTCCATCCATTTTGCCACAACATCCTTGCGTTTGGCAGCTTTTTCGAGAGGTGACAGACCGCTGATATTACCCGCTTTGATCATACGTTTGGCCAACTCTTTCACTAATTTTTCGGCGCAATTGTTCCCATTTTTATCGCTTTCAATCACATACTCTTCAATGCCATACTTCCCCAGATATGAGCCCTCCTTTCCATTCCAGTGCCCGTTCACCAGGAATATAGTCCTGTGACCGGCGCTCAGCAGCACTTGCGCTATACCTATGCACGCGTTCACATGTCCCACACCCCCGATCGGTACGAATAGTATTTTCAATTTTTTGCCATAATTTGTTCACTTTATTATAGAGTTACAGATTTATTATATATTACAATATTATTTGACACTTATATTTATAGTATTTATTTATAATTTTTTGAACGATATAACTTAAGTACTTTATTGTAACAATTTATGATAACAATTATAATAAACACAACATTTTGATTTGAAAAATGTGTTGATACAAGTTGACGTGAATTTAATTAAATAAAACAACTTAACATAAAAAGGCAAATAATATGTTACTGAATTTAATTGTATTAAAATAACCACTAAGTAAATTAAACCACTTGAACGACATCAATTGTTTATAACCATCCTGTTTAGCGTAACATTGGTGCAAAACGTCATAATGATCCTTATAAGCGCAAACGCTATATCATATTCAATGTACTTATAATCGTTTACTTATGAATTAAAGTATATTTTATATACATTTAGATTAACTGTTATTATTAACTAATGTACGAATTATACTATCAAGTGTTATTGAAAAAAGTATTCAATGTCAGATCATAGTAGAGTATTGAATATCCTTTTTCAATAAGCTGTTTCAATATGATACAGGTTTTAACAATAAAACATAAACTATTATATTTTAGGAATTTTATGTAATTAAAGCATATTGTTTAAAGTTCATATCTACTATGATATAATGTCTAAAATAACAATATAAGTAGTTGAGGAGAAAGACTGGACCCAAAAAGTAGATATAAATAAGCCGAAAAATAATAAATTAATAGAGTTTTATAGAGATAGTAGTGTTTAAAAAACGCGCGTTTTTTAGCACAGCATAGTATAG